GTGGGGTTGTTAACCAATGTCATAAAACAATATGTGTACTACTGTTTAATGAGAAACTATTTGTTCTGTAAACCTTCACCTGAAGTACAATAAAAAAAAAAAAATGATTACAGCCATACAAAAAAAATAAATCCTTTTATTAATATCATGAAAGGCTTATGTTATGCTATTGAGTGACGAGAATAAGATATAAAATTGTATATATTCTGTGACTTTATTTTTATTGGAGCCCTGGTTGTGTAGTGGTTAAGAACTCGGCTGCTAACCAAAACGTCGGCAGTTTGAATCTACCAGCTTCTCCTTGGAAACCCTATTGGGGCAGTTCTACTCTGTCCTATAGTGTAGCTACGAGTCGGAATCGACTCAACGGCAATGGGTTTTATTTCTTAAAAGAAAGCACTCTGATGTCTTTCCTAGTTAACTCAGGTTGGCAAGTTGGTGAAAGTCCATGAGATTTTTTTGTTGTTTTTTGTTTTTGCTTGCTTATTATATTTCTATATTTTGCAATTTTCTATAATATGCATGTATTACTTTCATGATTTTCATAACTTTAAAATCTTTTGAGAATGATTCTTGTGCACTTTTCCCCAGTCCTAAAGAAATACTTATTTTTTAAATATGAACACTATAGGACAATATCTAGGAATCATTCCATGTTTATCTTCAACGCCCTCCTCTTGTTAACTTCTTCACCTAAAATCCTATTTATTCACAGCTTGTTCATTCCGGGATATTTCTTAATTAATCCCAAATGAATGAGTTACTCTGAATCTTTTTAGCCCTAATGTAACTCATTTTGCATAAGAGCCGGTCCTAAAATTACTCACGCGCAAATGTTCTACTTTCTGGAAACCACTCTATTTTAATCTACCTTCCCCTCCTACCCAGTAGGTTTCCAGGACGCCTCCTTTCTTTCCAGTCAGTATCTGCTCAGGGAATATAAATTCAATCCAAGATAAATAAACTGCAGAAGAGAGTCTTATGGAAAATATAATTTTTTGGTGAATTTGAAATTGAATTAGTTTTACTACTACTACTATTATTTACAATTTAACTTACTCATATTATAAAAAATTCTCAATAATAAATCACTGAATTTATACTTTCCATTCAAGGAGAGTCCAGTTCTAGTCTCTCCAACTAATGAATTTTCATGACTTTGAGAGCCAACATGTCTCAAGCAAGCTCCAAAAATAACATAGTTCTATACAGAAAGTCCTCAGAAGAAAGTAAGAACTGGTCAAGATCATGTAGACCCTTTAAAATGATCTAGAAAGTCCTGATGGCTGGCTCCTGCCTCTCTCCAGCCTCTTCTTGCGCCATCTTGTACTACTCTCCCCCACCACATAAGTTCCAACCACATTCTAAGCACACAAACTGTGTTCCATCTCTCCATAAGGCTGGTCCAGACAGTCTCTCTATTCCTCTCCCTCTCTCCTCCACCCCTTCAGCTGTCTGCAGATCCTGTTGTATCCCCTCAAATCTCCCTTCAAGTACCACTGCCTTGGAGAAGCCACCCCTCAGTCTTGGTCAAAGTGCTTTACTATATATGATCAAATAATCAAACCCCTCTGTTTCAGGAGCACTCACCTCAATATGAATACCTAATAGTAAAGAGAAACTGAGACATAAGGATTGACCACAAGAAGGTTGGGATTGTGCCTCTTTTGTTTACCATTTTACACCCAACACATAGCATACAGTAGGCCCTTAATAAATATTTGTTAAATAAATGAGTGGATGGGTAGATAAAGATGCAATACTCCTGATGCTGTGAAAGGTTCCAAGCACATTTCTAAGTACTTTGTTTATGGCATATTCCTCCTATCCTATAAAATCTCTACCAGCTTTTCCCACTGCTTCCACCTGCCAACCTCCTCCAGCTGATGCTTAACAGTATAATACAGAACAATGTCTAAGTCAAGATACAAGCCACTCTCCCACAGGCTTCCATTTTATACCTCTTTATAAATAAAGCTTTATGGAGAGTATAATAAAATATAAAACAAAAGATGTTTACTACTAAAAGCAATAAAGTAAAATATTTCAACATTTGTTTTTCCTAAATTTGGTAAGTCATTTTTACAAGTCATATTTTTATAACTATCACAAAAAAGCTATATAAGTACATTTCTGAGGTCTTTTTCTTTATTCATTTAACAAAAATATAATTACTTTTTTGTTGTTTTTATCTAGAAAATTTTCCTCTACTTATTTAGAAAATTTATATTTTAAATTTTCTTACATTATCACATATTATAAGCTTCCCATGACTGCCCCCTCATCTATGGCCCACATTAGATGTATCATTTGTTATGTGGTTATATTTTTTTCCACTGTATTTTGAAAAAGAATATTAAAAATATCACCTACAGACTTTTTTTCAGGTTGCTAGCCTCATCTTCCCGTTGCACTGCTGTTTGTTTTTTAGTTTTGGTTTTTAGTTTGTTTGCTCGCAGGGAGGGTAGGAGGGTGGTTTCTACAATGTACTGAAAGTAAAAGTTCAAAAAACACATAGGCACACACACTTTGTTCTTTTAATATCCAAAATCCCAGTAACACATATGAATGATAGCCCACTCACTTATCATTCATTCAGCAAAAACTATTAAGCAACTACTTGCTATAGGCTATGCAGAGTGTTGGGTACCAAGGGGAATGGAGATGTGTAAGTCATCAGCCATACCCTCAACGAACTCGTACTCCATTAATGGGGGGAAAAGCAGAAAGACATATACAGTGTTCTAAATATGTATTGTACATATCATGTTAATTTTTACGTTGTCAGTAGAGTAAGAATAATAGTAAATATGTATTGAGCCTTTATTATGGGTTTGGGACTCCGCTATGGAATTTATTAATATTATTTCATCCACATCTCACCATAACATTGCCATTTTATAGATTACGAAACTAAGATTTAGCAGGATTAAGTAACTTGGCCAAGGTCACACAGCTAGAGAGAACCAACATTCAAACTCAGTCAATAGGACTTCTTTGCCTAATGAACCTATAAGTCTTCCCTTTCTAATAAGAGATTCCCTACTCCAAATAACTCTGTGTCTCAGGTGTTGGTTCCATCTCTGTGGCCTTGGGGTTAGAGGTTGCATACATTCAATTTTATACATGGTAGACCAGGGAAATCTTGTAGACATATTGGATGGCAATATGCCAACAAATCATTTGGTAAAGTTCTTCATAACCTGACAAAAGAACTGAGAGGTAAATGTTGAATGCAGGGGCAATGGATGGATTAGTGACAAAAGTATCTAAAGGCATTATAGTATTAGATGGTCAGCTTGGAGTACAGAATCAACTCGCATGCCATAGAATGCTGCTCGATTTTATATTAACGTATTAATGTATGTAAACATCAAATTTATAGGTATCAAAGAACTGGGAAGGATAATAAATATATTAACTCAGTATTTCCCAAGGTATTCCAAAGACCTTAATAGGTACTGCTTAAACAAAAGGCTCCATATTAAAAGTTGGGCAATAGAGACAGAAAGTAGATTAGTGGTTGTTAGAAAGTAGGGGGAGGGGAGAGCAATGACAGCTAACAGGTGTGAGATTTCTTTTCGGGGTGATGGAAATGTTCTGGAATTACATAGTGGGGATGGTTATACAACATTATGAATACACCAAAAACCACTGAACTGTATACTTTAAAATGGTGACATTTGTGTTGGTGAATTATATATCAATAATCATCTTTGAAAGTTAAAAAAATAATTTTTTTTAAAGAGCTGGGCCAAAGTTAAATAGGATTTTTATTAAGGGATTTTATCGCCTTGATTAAGCTATTAAGCTGATTGTAAGTCCAAGTTTATCCATAATTGCCTAAGTTTGCCAAAATAGCTCCAGTTTATACCTGCCATCACAGTGTTATTATTAATAGCACCCCCTTGCCCTCCCAAAACTGTCACAATTTGGACAACAAAATATACGGTCACCCTAACTACGTATACACAATCTCCAAGAACAGGATAGAGTTTCTCAAACGTATCTGGCCACTGTTATGGTTCTACAGAACATACTTGAGGAAATGCTGCAATAGACAGCAAAATCAGGATACACAGCCGCGGCAACCCACTATTTTTGAATTCTGAGTATGGGAGCCTACTGATCCCCTATGAATGGAGAACATCAATTCAAATATAGATTATCAACTGAGAATTTTTATAATAGAATGCTGCCACTGTTGCTATTATTCTAACACGCAGTAATAATATACAGAATAGAGTACTTATTAAATGAGTAATAAACCAAAGACCTGAAATCAAACAGACACAAAATATAAGGCTTGCTTATACCATACCCTTAAAAAATAAAACAAAGGCACAAGCACAACATGGGGGACAGCATAGACTTAAGGGACACTTTAATTGACAATAATCTTAATAAATCAATAGTTTAATAAGATCACCAAAAACATTATTATAATCTTAAGTTTAATAATTCATATATGATGCAGAATTAGTATTTTAATACTCCCACTGTACTGATCAGACCGCAACTATAATATCATGTTCAAATGTGAGTGTGGTGTAGTGGAAAGAGCAATAGCTTTGCAGTCAGACAGTCTTGGACTCACATGGTTCCAGCATTATCAGTTGTGTGATTACAGGTAAACCACTGAACCTCTCTGAAGTTCGGTTTTCTCATCTATAAAGCTGGACTGCTGCCACAAGTGTATGCGAGAACATATGCAAAAACAAAAACACCAACTCCACTGCTGTGGAGTCGATTTCAACTCATAGTGACCCTGTAGGACAGATTAGAACTGCCCTGTAGGGTTTCCAAGGCTGGAAATCTTTATGGAAGCAGACTGCCACATCTTTCTCCCACGGAGCGGCTGGTGGGTTCGAACCACCCAACTTTGGGTTAGCAGCAGAGCACTTAACTACTGTGCCACCAGGACTCCTTTTGAACATATGCAAAACACCTGACAAATGCATAGGAAGAGCTGAAGTCAGTGTTAGCTGTTACCGTTACTGTTTTTACTACTAGTTTCTTATCCTCTTTATAATAATCTTTTCAGAGTTGTCACACAAAAAGAAATTTAACAAAAAGCAAAATGAACATCTTCCTCACCTGTCTGCTACACTGCCTGGCTGTACTTCCTTCACGAAGATATCAACTTCTCCCAGATTTTGACTTCGAAGGGCCACCACACTGAATCCAAGGCCTCCAGTTGAAGGCCGTTCTATATCTATATACTCAATTTGCCGGCCCTAATGAAAACAGGTTAAAAAAAATTCAGCGTCATAGGTTTAACCAACATACTCTTCCCACAGAGCTAAAACTGCTTAAGCACAAAAACAGCTTCTCCTAAGTCATCTCTATAAAACCAAATAAACCCAGTATTTCAGTAATAAATTATTTCTGGAAACCCTCATACTTGATTATTTCCAGTAGAACATAAGAGGGAATGTGCAGCACTTTGCAACCTCAGGGAATCTGAGAGGTATTTTAACACTTTATTCACACTATTAGATAAATCCTAAGACAGATGAAAACTGCTGAGAAAAATGCCTTTTCCCCCAGTATATTCCAAATTACCTTGTACACTGCGTTTTCCTAAATTCTTTTGATGCAAAATATATTTTTAAGTGAGGAAAGCAAACCAGATGTTATCAGAAATATGTTAGCATTTAACCTAAGTCCAAAATCAGCTTCGTTTCTTAGCATTCTGTTTTTAATTCTATTGTGATGAGTTAATATTTGTTTTTGTTAGGTCAACGCAAAAGACGATGGAAAAGGCCATCGATCAGTTCTAGCTGTGATTACCAGGCATTTATTGCTTTAGTTAATAATTGCATTTATAACATGAGAACTTCAAAAAAGTAGTCAACTAACAAACGCATGACATAAAAATAATTATTAGAGAGTCAAACAAAGGGGATAGAGTTATAAAATCTAAAAAGGAATTAGGTACAGAACATTATTTAACTATCACACTTTAAACAGGTTCTTTTCACTCTGGAACTCAAGTTTCATTTTTAAAGGCATATATTAGAAGGTAAGGTGAACAATCAAAAAACTGACGTATCCAAAGAGTCAATTGTCTATTACTTAATTTTTAATAGGTATGAGGGATAAAACTGAATTACCTTTTCAAATGTCTCTCTAGATATCCCAATTTATATTTGGATTAAAACCAAACAAAACCAGACCCATTGCCATCGAGTCAATTCTGACTCCTAGCGACCCTACAGGACAGAGCAGAACTGCCCCATAAGGTTTCCGAGGAGCACCTGGTGGATTTGAACTGCCGACCTTTTGGTTAGCAGCCGAGCTCTTAACTACTGTACCACCAGGGCTCCATATTAAGCCTAACTCTCATTAATTCTGTTTTGATATAAAATTTAAAATAGTTTCAATAGCTTCATCACTTCTGGTAGAGAAATTACACACAATTTTCCTCCAGTGATCAAAACCAATAAGAATCTCCATCATTACAAGTGTAGAGATGTGTCAAATTGGAATCATTATCAAAACACTCTCTCACCATGAACTAGGATGCTTTAAGTAATTTTAAACCAATAAATTTCCAACACACAGGTTAGAAAATAGCATGAATTCCTCCTAACAATATAAACACACAAGCAAACAAAATACACAGTAAAATATTTTAAGGCAAAAGAGTGTGGGTTTCTTTTTTAACCTATAAGGGGAGAAATGAAGCTAAATATTCCTATAACGAGATATAACTTTACCTGAGCCATCTGCTGAACAATTGAGTTGAAGTCTTCATTTCCCAACTTAGGGGTCCAAGGAAATAACCCAGATACAGCCAAGTTATTGGAGGGCCTATGGGCATTCCCATTAGTGATGGAACCATCTGTAAACACTAATAACCCTTTTCTGGAAAAATCAAAGTTGGCTGAACAATCTGAGGGTATATGACTGAGCTGTTGGAGAGAAAAACATAAAAAGAATCATCAACAGAAACCTATAGAAAAGTATATTATTTCTACTTATTAAATATTGGATTTTTCCTACTACATGTTCAATTTGCATGTTAAATATATACATGCGGAAGAAACAAGATACAAATATATGAATCTGTGTATTTATACGAAATGTCTGATAGTTCTTGCTTCCAGCCTTCTACTACTATCCCAAGTAGCCCTGGTGGAGTAATGGTTAAGCACTCAGCTGCTTAATGTGGGTGGTTCAAACCCTCCAGTGGCTCTGCAGGAGAAAAGACCTGGAGATCTGCTCCCGTAAAGATTACAGACTAAGAAACCCTATGAGGCAGTTCTACCCTGTCATATAGGGTCGCTACAAGTCAGAACAACTAAGTGGCACACAACAACTACTGCTACCCCAAATTAATATGTAGAGATAATATTAGAGATAATATCTCAATATACTTCATATACATATACATCCAGACACATAAACATGAATGTAAGACACTGAGCTCTTTTGCATTTACCTGTACATTTTCAAGTGTAGAGCCATAAAACATCCACAGGTAGTATGTAACAATTACAACAATTAATAGTATTTACTGAGTACTTGCTATGAGCCAGGCACTGTGCCAAGGTTCTTACATGTATTATCTCATTTAATCCTTACCCAGACCTATGAAATACTATTATCCTATTTTGTGAATGTGAAAACCGAGGCACATAGGGGTTAGGTAACTTGATCAAGATTACACAGGAAGTGAGTGGCAGAAATATTAGTAAAAAAGGAGAATCATGTAATTATGGGGAGCGGGAAAAAAAGAGGTTTTTTTTTAAAAGATCATTTGGCTGATAACTACCAACACACAGTTGAACAGAGGTAACAAGAACAAATGTCAGTAGAACCTGATACAAAAATCAACATCCCCTGGGTAGGAGGATTTTACATGGATGAAATATGATTATGTATATAAAAACTGCAAACTGTAAAATATAATGGATTGTCATGCTGGAGGGGTTACTCTAATAATAGTGATAGAGTTGTACTGATCTTTCCCAATTTCAATTTCTACCAATAGCATTCACTGTTGCTATGGAACTCATTCTAAAATTATGGTATTAAGTTCTGGTCTAAAAAAAAGAAATTCACAGAAAGATATTTAATCCTAAATTAGTTATGAACAAATTACTCATTAATTTGTGGGGCAGGAATTTGGGCTTTATCAGCAAAAACATTCTTTCCCAAATTTTGTTTTCACAGAGTAACAATTCTGCTATATTATCTTTAATTACATTTAAAGTTCTGCCCAAATTTAACCTATAAAATAGATATTATTCAAACTCAGTTTCCAGAATACATTATTTTAAAACCAATCTGCCATCCTTGATCCGAAAACACAGCACCCAAGAGAACAATTAAACTAATGATTTGCAAGTAGAGATACTATGTGCCCTTTAATGCAACAACTATGTCTTAAGAGCCTGCAGAATTCCAGGCACTACGCTTTACATAGTGGAGGAAACACTAATAAATACTAAAACACCAGGTATACTGCTTACCAAAAGCTTATAATCAGAATATTCATGATGTGAAACCATAAATATTTGATAATTACTAAGAGAGGGACAAATAATGTCCTACAAAGATATGACCATTTCTTACTTCATGACTTCATGAAGAAAAGAGTTAAGCACTGTTTTATAAACTTTAGGGAAAGGCTGAGAATTTTCTCAAAGCTTCTACCTTTCCATATTTAAATAAGTACAAAGACTGTATTCCAAAGCCAAACACAAAATGTATTAGCATCACCATTTTTAAACTAGCCATGCCAATGCTACCTACAGGTCACAAGTCTCAACCCACTCTCTTTGCTGAACTAAAAGTACTTAAAGACAATATGCCTCTGTCTCTATTTCCTCCTTTGTTTCTTTCTTAGAATAAATCCATGTGTTTTCTTGGAATAAATCAATGTGTAAAACTCTGATGGGCAACTTACTTGCCCCTTCAGTTGCTTGATGGACTGCTGAAGTGTAAGTATCTGGTTGAAGAGAGGACTCCTTAGAGTCTCATAAAACGTAGACAGCTTCTCATTCTGCGACATGTCACCCTTCTCCTGCAATTTCATTTTCAGGCGCTCAAGAACCTGCAGAACCTGCAGTTTATCTTGGTTGAAGAGGAATAATCAGAGTAAAAGTTAAGTCCCATCTTATATTCCATTCTGGTGTCATTAATTAATTACTTTAGTGATAAAATTATATATCTATTATACCTAGGGCAGGATTTTCTGGCATTTTGAGTTATTCTCTTCAATTACTTTTAAAGAAACCTAAAGAAAAAATTAAAAATACAAGAGATTAATTTCCATTAGTGTATATGTATACAAAGTCTTACAGAAAAATTAAAGAAAACCTCAAGCATATTCTTCATCAAAAGATCCCACTCAGGGAAACTCAAATTAAAACCACAATGAGGTCTCACTACATACTCGCTAAAATGGCTAAAATTTAAAAACCAAAATAGACAATGCTAAGTGGTGGCAATGACACAACCAGAACTCTCATGTATTGCTAATATGAATGTAAAATGACATACCACTTTGGAAAATTGTTTGGCACTTTCTTAGAAAGTTAAAATACACTTACTATATAACCCAGCAATTCCACTCCTAAATACTTATACAAGAGAAATAAAAACATATGCCCACAAAAAGGTCTGTAAATAAATGTGCAAAACATCTTTACTTATAAATGCCCCAAACATAAAACTCCACATATCTAATAACATATAAATTATGGAGTGTACATGTAATGGAATACTAGAAATAAAATGGCAAAAAAATTACTGATACACCCAACATGGATGAACCTCAAAAATATCATGTTGTTCTCTTGGCCACATCTACGGTGAGAATGAAGACCATTCTCAGCAACCCGACTGTCGACATTCCAGATAATATCGACATCACTCTGAAGGGACACACAGTTATTGTGAAGGGCCCCAGAGGAATCCTGCAGAGGAACTTCAGTCACATCATTGTAGAACTCAGTCTCCTTGGAAAGAAAAAAAAGACGCTTCACTTTGACAAATGGTGGGGAAATAGAAACGAACTGGCTACAGTCTGCACTATCTGAAGTCACATATAAAACATGATTGTCTTGGTCATCTAGTGCTGCTATAACAGAAATACAAGCGGATGGCTTTTAACAAACAGAAGTTTATACCACAAGCAGATGGCTTTTAACAAACAGAAGTTTATTCTCTCACAGTCCAGTAGGCTACAAGTCCAGATTCAGGGCATCAGCTCCAGGAGAAGGCCCTCTCTCTCTGTCAGCTCTGGAGGA